TCTTCAGGTGGACGTCACTGATATTCGAAATTCTGAAATGGAGCACTTAACATCTGTAAACGTTAAAGCCCGCGGATGACAAATGTCAACATCACACATCAATGCTTCTGTTTTATGTAAAAAAAAGGATTTAAATGATTGTTTTTACTCATCAGGACATGCATGAATAGTATTGTGTTGGTTTTAAAATGCATGGAAGTAGGGTTCATTAAACATTGGTTTGAGACATCAGACATAATTCTAACCATGCACATGACTAGGTACACTCAAAATTGTGAGTTATTTTCTCATCATAATTTTCTGGTAACAGAAGTCACTGTCACAACACTAAGTTTTGCCCAAGATACCCCACAGACTTTAGCTGTGATTTCAGCAGAGTTTAGTCTACTTAAAGCTGTTTCTGCTCTTCCTGGCAACAATCCATTGGATGCTGATTATATTACCAACAAGAAAAGAAGGCTGATACTTGCCAGCAATTGTCATTGGCATAGACATCTGCAATCTGTAAAATGTACCCACAATGACAAATTTGAGTGCTCTCTTAAGCCTTTTATACTTGATTGCCAATTAAGGGTCCAATAATGCTTGATGACAGCAATAGAATTAGCTGTCTGAACTATTGTGTGCATGCTAAACATAAGATGAAAGCAATGGTCTGGATAATTATTTCATCAGGCATTTGCATAGCAATAGCTGACCAGAAAAGCATATACAAGCATGCACACATCATATAATAAGCATCCTGCAGAGTGCAGTCAAGAATGGAAATAACTATAGTCATAAGTATATGTCAACTTTCAAAAAAAATACTGCAGGTACTTTCTTTATTAAACTGATATCCATTTGTTTGCACCACCTCTTACCAATGTTGGTAAGGTAATTTACTCTGACCCACAGATGATGCCATTTTAAAAGGTCCAGCATCCTTTCAAAGAAGAAGGAGCCCAGCTATAGCTTTTGTCTCCACAAACACTACTGCAAGGCAGCCAAGAGCAGGAACAAGATCCATTGTGACTGTGGTGAAAATAGCAATGGTCAGTGACACAGTAGTGCATTTTTGATCTTGTAGCATAATGCATTGTGCAGCCCATATTGGCACTTGGTCACTGTGAATGATAGAAGCCAACATGCCAATGTATGACAGATTGTGGTGCTTTTGTGGGGTGGACCTTTCCATCACTGGTCATGGGTGTACAATGCAGCAAACGCAAATGGCTTTGCTGCTGTTCGTCTGTAATCTGGCCATCTTACAGGCAGCTTGAATCTTGTCATAATTTCTCACCTAGGTTTGATGCATGACATTTGATGTCTCAGCAAATCCCAAACTTTGATGTTCACCTTGCCTGTCTCTTGGAATCTGCCAAAATATTCTGGGTGCCGCAAATGCATATTCCCACAGACCAACTGCACCTTGACCCTCCTCTCTCATACCCACCGCTGCTGTGTGTGTGGTGGTGGGACTGACCTCCATCTCCACCCTAACCCCCCCCCCCTCCCTCCCTCATGCCTAGAGCTGCTGGTGTGGCAGTGGGACTGGCCTTTGACTACACCCTGACCCCTCTCTCTCATGCCCAGAGTTGCTGGTGTGGCAGTGGGACTGGCCTTTGACTACACCCTGACCCCTCTCTCTCATGCCCAGAGCTGCTGGCATGGCAGTGAGGCTGGCCTTTGACTACACCCTGGCCCCTCTCTCTTGTGCCGGGAGCCGCTGGCGTGGCAGTGGGACTGGCCTTTGACTACACTCTGACCCCTCTCTCTCATGCCCAGAGTTGCTGGTGTGGCAGTGGGACTGGCCTTTGACTACACCCTGACCCCTCTCCCTCGTGCCCAGAGCTGCTGGCGTGACAGTGGGACTGGCCTTTGACTACACCCTGACCCCTCTCTTTCATGCCCAGAGCTGCTGGTGTGGCAGTGGGACTGGCCTTTGACTACACCCTGACCCCTCTCTCTCATGCCCAGAGCTGCTGGCATGGCAGTGAGGCTGGCCTCTGACTACACCCTGACCCCTCTCTCATGCCCAAAGCTGCTGGTGTGGCAGTGGGGCTGGCCTTTGACCACACCCTGACCCCTCTCTCTCATGCCCGGAGCCGCTGGCGTGGCAGTGGGACTGGCCTTTGACTACACTTTGACCCCTCTCTCTCATGCCCAGAGCTGCTGGCGTGCCAGTGGGACTGGCCTTTGACTACACCCTGACCTGTCTCTCATGCCCAGAGCCGCTGGCGTGGCAGTGGGACTGGCCTTTGACTACACCCTGACCCCTCCATCTCGTGCCCGGAGCCGCTGGTGTGGCAGTGGGACTGGCCTTTGACTACACCCTGGGTCCTCTCTCTCGTGCCCGGAGCTGCTGGTGTGGCAGTGGGACTGGCCTTTGACTACACCCTGACCCCTCTTCCCTCGTGCCCGGAGCTGCTGGTGTGGCAGTGGGACTGGCCTTTGACTACACCCTGGCCCCTCTCTCCCATGCCCAGAGCCGCTGGCGTGGCAGTGGGACTGGCCTTTGACTACACCCTGGCCCCTCTCTCTCGTGCCCGGAGCTGCTGGTGTGGCAGTGGGACTGGCCTTTGGACATACAACCCTGACCCCTCTTCCCTCGTGCCCGGAGCTGCTGGTGTGGCAGTGGGACTGGCCTTTGACTACACCCTGGCCCCTCTCTCTCCCATGCCCCAGAGCTGCTGGCGTGGCAGTGGGATTGGCCTTTGACTACACCCTGGCCCCTCTCTCTCATGCCCAGAGCTGCTGGTGTGGCAGTGGGACTGGCCTTTGACTACACCCTGACCCCTCTCCCTCGTGCCTAGAGCTGCTGGTGTGGCAGTGGGGCTGGCCTTTGACCACACCCTACCTCTCTCTCATGCCCGGAGCTGCTGGCGTGGCAGTGGGACTGGCCTTTGACTACACCCTGGCCCCTCTCTCTCGTGCCCGGAGCTGCTGGCATGGCAGTGGGACTGGCCTTTGACTACACCCTGACCCCTCTCTTTCATGCCCAGAGCTGCTGGCGTGGCAGTGGGACTGGCCTTTGACTACACCCTGGCCCCTCTCTCTCGTGCCCGGAGCTGCTGGTGTGGCAGTGGGACTGGCCTTTGACTACACCCTGGCTCCTCTCTCTCAGGCCCAGAGCTGCTGGCGTGGCAGTGGGACTGGCCTTTGACTACACCCTGACCCCTCCCTCTCGTGCCCGGAGCCGCTGGCGTGGCAGTGGGACTGGCCTTTGACTACACCCTGACCCCTCTCTCTCGTGCCCGGAGCTGCTGGTGTGGCAGTGGGACTGGCCTTTGACTACACCCTGACCCCTCCCTCTCGTGCCCGGAGCCGCTGGCGTGGCAGTGGGACTGGCCTTTGACTACACTCTGACCCCTCTCTCTCATGCCCAGAGCTGCTGGCATGGCAGTGGGACTGGCCTTTGACTACACCCTCTCCCTCATGCCCAGAGCCGCTGGCGTGGCAGTGGGACTGGCCTTTGACTACACCCTGACCCCTCTCCCTCATGCCCAGAGCTGCTGGTGTGGCAGTGGGACTGGCCTTTGACTACACCCTGACCCCTCTCCCTCATGCCCAGAGCTGCTGGCATGGCAGTGGGGCTGGCCTTTGACTACACCCTGACCCCTCTCTCATGCCCAAAGCTGCTGGCGTGGCAGTGGGACTGGCCTTTGACTACACCCTGACCCCTCTCCCTCATGCCCAGAGCTGCTGGTGTGGCAGTGAGGCTGGCCTTTGACTACACCCTGACCCCTCTCTCATGCCCAAAGCTGCTGGCGTGGCAGTGGGACTGGCCTTTGACTACACCCTGACCCCTCTCCCTCATGCCTGGAGCCGCTGGTGTGGCAGTGGGACTGGCCTCTGTCGACACCCTGACCCCTCCCTCATGCCCAGAGCCGCTGGCATGGCAGTGGGACTGGCCTTTGACTACACCCTGACCCCTCTCTCTCGCTCCCAGAGCCGCTGGCATGGCAGTGGGACCAGGTGCGGGCGCCAGCTTCGGCTCGCTTCCTGCCGACGCACGTGGCCTGCCACGAGACGCTCTCCACGGGTACGGCTGTGCTGCTGGGCGACACCATTCTCGAGCCCGGCGGACACCACTTCTTCGAGGTCAAGCTGCTGACCGACCTGTACGGCACGGACACGGTGGGTCGCGGGCGCGCGGCCACGGCTGCCCAACCAGCGGCGCGGCCGGTCTCCCGCTTTAGCAGTCGGTTGCTGGGTCGCTCTGCTTTGTGACGTATGCCATAGCTAGTGCCTGTGATGTGGTTTGAGTCATTACTGGCTGTTTGATTGCTATTTTGTGTGTTTAACTGCAGCATGAGCCATGATGATATAAGCACGGTCATGATAGTTCAGCTGTATGAGCTGTCATAGTGAATGTTTTTTAACTCGCAAAATTTTAGCGCTTGATTTCTTCCCTACCTAATGTATAAATAGGTTATCGAAATGTGTGGCTGTGCTCTGCCAACCCTGCACCTGCCTTGCCACCATATTCTCACGTTCTGTATATGCACGCCCGGCTGCCGCAACCAGCACGTGTACTGACCCGCAGAGGCCGCAGACAGCCGGCCAGACGGGGACCGGGAGCTAACGGTGTGCCGCCCGCAGATGGTGGGTCTGGTGACGGACCAGTTTGATCCGGACTCGGCCAACCAGCGATTCGTGAGCCTCCTGGGCGCCGATTCCCACTCGTGGGGCCTCTCCTTCCATGGTGAGGCCGCAGCGCCCGGTACACTGTCTGCACGGCTGTGCGGGTTTGCGCGCTGCTCGCTGACGCACGTCTTAATCACAGACCCGGTCAACTGTTCTGACGTATTTGCATCGGGAATAGAAAATGTGTCGTGTGTCGCTTATACTTTACCTACTGCTCGTTCGCACTCCATGAAGTTTGTGGTATTTGGGTTATGTTGCTGGTGATTGTTTGGGTCGTGTTGTTGGTGATTGTTCGGGTCGTGTTGTTGGTGATTGTTCGGGTCGTGTTGTTGGTGATTGTTCGGATTGTGTCGTTGGTGATTGCTCGAGCTGTGTTGTTGGTGATTATTTGGATTGTGTTGTTGGCGACTGAGGTTTAAGTGTGCGTCCGATGCCGGGCGGCTAGGGTGAGAGACAAACGGCGTGTTTAGCCCCAGCAGCTGAGCGCGTCGTAAATTCTCAACCAAAGTGACGTCATTTGGCGCCAGTCTTGGAGTTCGGCTGCTCGGGTGGCAAGAAGCGCAATGCCATACGCAGTCACGATGTTGTCCGTGATGCTTCGTGATGTGCGACTGACGTGGACCGTTATGGGCCTCGGCACCCGCCAGTCAGTTAACTATCGGCATCTCACACCGTCGCTTCAGACCGGCCCGATCGTCGACTCCAAGGGTGCGCGCTGTCCTGACGCTGTCCTGACGCTGTCCGGACTGTCCTGATGCCGTCCTGACGTCCTGATGCTGTCTTGACGCTGTCCTGACGCTGTCCTGGCGCCGTCCTGATGCTGTCCTGACGCTGTCCTGACGCCGTTCTGACGCTGTCCTGGCGTTGTCCTGACGTTATCCTGACGCTGCCCTGACGCTCTCTTGACGCTGTCCTGGTGCTGCGCGTCGCCAGGTACGATCCGCCATGCTGGCCGCTCGCAGCCCTACACCAGCCTCTTCGGCAAGGGCTCCATCATCGGCGTCTACGCCAACCTTCGCGCCGGCACCGTCGAGTTCTTCCTCAACCGACGCTCGCTGGGTGAGTCGGGGCGCTCACTGGGTGAGTCGCGGCGCTCACTGGATGGGTCGATGGCTGACTGGGTCACTCATCGGCCATGAAGCTGTGACGCCGTCGTCAGGTGACCGTTACCTGGTAAGAAATCGCTCGACTTATTTGCTAAGGTTCGTTATTGGCGGACGCTGGCTTCGTTTCACGGCGCGTTCTTGTGTCTTGTATCGCAGTTTTATCCAGAAATGGTTGCGTGCTTGGCCTCTGAGGCATGGCACCCACTTGTCGAGCGCCCTCCGGATCGGCTGACCGCCCCTCGTGACGTGTTGACCGTCCGCGGTAACGACCGCTCGCCTGTTGACACGCCTCTGATTGTCCGGCTCGGTCAGTGGCCGACGGTGTCCTCGGGCACCCCAGCCGCCGTCGCGGCCCCGTGTCCGTTCGCCACACCGCTGGCGATGACCCGTCCCCCTCCCGCGTGAGGTGCGCTCCTCCCGCCCTCCGCTGACCGTCCTGACGGCAGGGGTGGCGTTCTCGGGCCTGAGCCGACCGGGCGACGGCGGCGGCCTGCTGCCGGCGTTCTGCACCACGGCGGCCAACACGTGCGTGCGCCTGGTGACGGCGCTGTCCGTGGCCGACTCGCTGCAGTTCCAGGCGACGGCCGTCATCAGTCGCAGGTGGGGATCACGCGCTGTGATGGCAGAGGCTGTCTCACGGACGCGGGGGGAGGGGGGGGGGGGGGGGGGGGCAGGCGACGTCGCTGATCGCTAAGTCCAGTGGCTGATCGTTGCTCAGGTCATCAACCACGGAGGCTGAGGTTTGATGACTCGGGCGTCGACTGGGGTCACCAATCAGTTGAGGTCGCTTGGAAGGGTGAGATTGTGCTTTGGTGTTGCGGTATCGTGACATAACAGGCTGTGAACGGTCTGTCTTGTCCGGAGGTCAGGCATAGACGTCATTTGATCCTACTGACACGTTGGGGTCACAGGGGTCACACATGCCGGGTCAAAGGCCTTGGGATCAGGTCTTGGGATCCTGGCGCGATTCCGACCAGAAGATATCCACTGGCACAACCAGCCAGACGTTGCCAAGTCCTTTCCCGCCGTCGGACCGCCATCCCAGTTCCCCGTGCTGGTAAGGCTTTTGGAGCAGTCGTGGATCGTCACTGCAGCCATGCTGCTATTGTTACGGATGTGCTGCGATTGCCGTTGGTTGCTAATATCACGTGCGATCTGGGTAGCCTGCCGCACTGGTCGCTGGCGCTGCCAGCGCCGATCTGCCGTCTGATCCGACGCTTCCCGTGGCTGGACTACGTGGGTGTGCCGCGCGACAGCTGGCCCGCCGCCCGCCAGCTGGTGGTGGTGGACGACTCGCCGGCTCCGGAGGCGCCGCCCGCCCGGCCGGCCAGGCCGCCCGGTAAGGGCTCGGTGGCGGCAGCGTTGCGGCGTCTGTCTGGTGCGCACAGTGACGCATTGGATCTCGTTAATTGGACGTTTCTGTCGTCGGCCTTACTGTTGGCAGTGGTCCTCATTGTCCCGTGGGCTCTCATTCACCTTTCGTTTATCGTCCTGTATTTCGAGCTGCCTTCTGGTCCGTCTCCGTCGTTTTCCGCGCGCTTGCGGTAATTTCTTCCCTTAGTTTTCAGCTTGTTCTGTCGTCTATTTGCGTTTGGTTTGTCTTGTTAAAACCGTAGTACGGTCTGAACGTTCTCATCGTCTTGGAAATCACCATCTTACCCGGGTCCTCTTTCCTCACGTTCCCATGTTTCTGTGTCCCTCGCCTCGGCGAGGGTGAGAACTGCGGTGGTTGTGTTTACGCCGGGCATCCACTGTAGGGTAGGGGGGGGGGGGGGGTAGAGCGAGTGAGTGAGCCACCTTTAGTTTAGAGTGTTCTGTGTGTCCATTTCATGCCATGTGCTGTAAAGGTTTAGACAACGTGCTTGACACATAAATCTCAGCGATCTCGAAAATTACTGCAAAAGCGCTCTTTCGAACTGCTGAATCGCGGCAATTCCACATTCAATCATCTCCATAATACCTTGCGTGCAGTTCCATTCATCGTCGCCAGATGTTTCCCTCAAACGATTGACCGGCGGCCGTGCACCCGGCGCGTGTCCGCCCGGCCTCTGAGCGTCTGACGTCGTGTCGTCCCTGACGCGTCTCTCCCCTCTCCCGACAGACGCTGGCGCCTCGCCGCGCCTGGCCGGCTCGCCGGACGCGGCGCGCCGGCCGGGGCGGGCCTCCACTCGCGGCCCTCCTGGCTGGAAGACACGCCGTCGCCGGCGCCGGCGCCGACGACGGGGCCGCGCAGGTCTTGCCGCGTGATAACGCTCGCCTCGCCGGAGGAGGAGGGGAGAGGACGAGGAAGAGGAGCTGCATCGGCTGGCCGGCGCGCCGCGCACCGTGCTGACGATCGTGCCGAGCCGCCGGCGCAGCGGCCGGCCGGAGCGCGCTGGCGCGCCGGCGCGCCGCCAGCACCGGCGCAGGACGCTGGCGGCGCACGCCGAGGCCGACACGCCGACGGCCGGCTGGAGGTGCGCCGGAGGGAGGGGCGCAGCCGACGCAGTGCCGTCCGCCAGCAGGGAGGGGGCCGCAGCGGAAGACGCGGCGGACGGAGCCGCGTTGCAGAGGGGCGGTTGGAAGGAGGGCGAGGAGGAAGATGGTGGTGGCGACGCCTCGCGAGCCGTCACTGACGAGGGCTCGCTGCAAAGGACGAAAAGTGAAGAGATGTTACAAAGGGCGCTGGATGATGACTTACGACAAGAGATCGCCGGTGGCGACTTGCGACAAGAGATCGCGGACAGTGGCGCGCTGAATATAAGCGGAGCTGAAGACGTTCTGCGGAGAGAAGACGGAGACATGACACGTGCGATAGAAAATGGTGATGCTATCCCAGGGGTCACTCAAGAATGCATGTCGCAAGACATAATGGTCAGAGACATCGCGCATACTTCTGGTGCCGACAGGGTTCCCCACAACGCTGCCCAGAAAAGGAGCAATCTGTGCGACACTGCAGGAGTGCCAAAGAGAGGCTTGTTCCAAACGATTACTCACGCGGACTGTCAGGGCAGAAGCTCTTCGAATGCTCCCGATAATGTCACCCACACAGACATCTCCGAGCGGGCGGGCAGTGAAGAAGCAGACTTCAAGTATCACGACTGGAGTCTGGACGCCTCCCGGGCCAACGCCGAGGGATGCATTTCCGAATCTAGAACTGACGAACACGTAACCTGTGGGGTACCTGTGCGGCCTGAGGAACACCCCGCTGGTGCCGACGATGTGACCGAGATCGAAGAAGAACTTTCTCCCCGCGATTTTGTCACCAAACGGAGGAAAAAGACGCACGAACGAGGCGGCGACTCCCTGGCGGCTGACAGGAGAGTCTCAGAGGAGCTTGTCGATGGAGTCGGCCAGGTGGACGCCGCGCCGGATAGCGCGGCGGCCTGCGGTGCTCCGCAGAGTGCCGCCTCCGACAGTCCTGTCCTGGTGCCAAGCAGCCCGCCCGGGCAGCGAAGAAACCCAGCGGATATGAGGGGCGACTGGCCCCTGGTGCCGAGCTCTCAGCCCTCGGAGGACCCGTACGGCGACGGTGGCGGCAGCGCGCGGACGGCTGTGGGCGGCGGTGACGTCATCCGTGACGTCGCGGCACTGGAGGCGGACGGCATACCGGCCTCGGACACTGGCTGCGACGTCATCCGTGACGTAACCGCCGTCGAGGCGGACAGCATACCGGCCTCAGACGCCGGCTGTGACGTCATCCGTGACGTTACCGCCGTCGAAGCGGACAGGGTACCGGCCTCAGACGCCGGCTGTGACGTCATCCGTGACGTTACCGCCGTCGGAGGCGGACAGCGTGCCGGCCTCGGACGCGCACTGTGACGCCATCGATGGCGTCCGGTCGGGCATGGACGGGTTCGCCGCGGGTAACGTGACCGTCCGGAGGAGCCGGGAGGCTCTGTCCAGCGCCAGCTGCGGACCCGATGTCGGGACGAGGCCGCGGGGAAGCGGCCGGCCTGGTGCCGACGGTGGCTGGTCCCGGCGAGCTCACGGCGAGGAGGGGCAGGCGGGCCTCCAGTGTCAGTCTTGGCGATACCAGCGCGGTGGTCGGGAGGCGAGGCAGGCGCAAGTGTCAGCTGTGACGCCGCTGGTGAAGTCGCGGTGGATGTGAGCAGTGTTCTCGCAGGTGTCAGTCGGGGAGCTGCCGGTAAAGCTGCAGCAGCGCAAGACGAACCGGTGGTGGAATATCGGAGCTCGCCAACTGCGAACGTCACGGTACGACGAAGCAGAAGGCTTTTCCGGTTTCATCTGCGATCCACCAGCGGAGGCCATCACCAAGCAAAAGGAAGAGGCTCCAGCGCCAGTCGTGACCTTCCCGTTGAACCCGTCGCGAAGAATAGTGGAAGGGCCTCAGCTACCCTCTATGATTGTTCCGTCGAAGTTGTCGCGAAAAGAAGCAGGAGAGCTTCAAGTGTCAGCTACGATCCTTCTAAGGAAGCGGTCACAAAGAGAAGCAGAAGAGCCTCCAGTGTCGGTTATGGTCCTTCTGTTGAAGTCGTCGCGAAGAGAAGCGGAAGGGCCTCCAGTGAGTGTGTTTCCCCCGTTGGAGCTGTCGCAAGAGAGAGCCAGGAGAGCGTCTAGCGTCAGTTACGATCACGTGAAAGACGCCATCACCAAGAGAGGCGAAGTACCTCCATTATCATGAGCGATTCTCCAGTCGGAGTGGTCGCAAGGAGAAACGAGGAGAGTGTCGAGTGCCAGCTACGATCCTCCCAGGGAAGCCGCCACGAAGAGAGGCAGAAGAGGCCCTCCATCGCCACGGAAGCTGTCGCAAAGAGCCCCAAGGGCAGCTATGGTCCAATGTCACATGGGATTCTCCGTTGAAGCCGTTGCAAGGAGGACCAGAAGATCGTCGAGCGCCACTTACGATCACCCCAAGGAAGCGACCATGGAGACGAGCAGAAGAGCCGCCACTGCCAGTTCTGGGTCCTTTCGTGGCCACTGCCACAAAGAGAAGCAGAAGGGTCTCCGTTGTTTTTGTGTGATTCTCCGGTCGGAAGTGGTGGCCAAGAGAACGGGGAGAGCCGTCGAGTAGCAGTTACGATTCTCCCAGGGAAGCCGGTCACGAGGAGCGAAGAAGAAAGAGCCTCCAGTATCAGTTTTGGTCCTTCAGTCGAAGTCGTCGCAGGGGGAAGCAAAATGGCCTCCAGTGAATGCGCTTCCCCCGTTGCAGCTGGCGCAAAAGAGAGCAGAAGAGCGTCGAATGTCAGTTACGATCCTTCAGTTGCAGTCGTCGCAGGGGAAGCAAAATGGCCTCCAGTGAATGCGCTTCCCCCGTTGCAGCTGGCGCAAAGAGAGCCAGAAGAGCGTCGAATGTCAGTTACGATCCTCCTAGGGAAGTTGTCGCGAAGAGAGGCAGAAGAGCCTCCAGTGCCAACTCCGGCCCTTCTGTTGCAGCTGTCGCAAAGAGAGCCAGAAGAGCGTCGAGTGTCAGTTACGATCCTCCTAGGGAAGTCGTTACGAAGAGAGGCAGAAGAGCCTCCAGTGCCAACCCCGGCCCTTCTGTGGAAGCTGTCCCAAAGCGAAATGGAAGGGTCTCCGTTGCCATGAGCGATTCTCCAGTGGAAGTTGTCGCAAGGAGAACTAGGAGAGCGTCGAGTGCCAGCTACGGCCTTACTAGGGAAACGTTCGCGCGGAGAGGCAGAAGGGCTTCCACTGCCAGCTCTGACCCTTCCGCTGAAGCTGTCACAAAGAGAAGCAGAAGGGTCTCCGTTGTCATGCATGATTCTCCGATTGAAGCTGTGCCCAAGAGAACGGAGAGAGCGTCAAGTGTCGGCTACGATTCTCCCAGCGAAGCCGCCACGAAGAGAAGAAGGGCCTCCAGTATCAGTTATGGTCCTTGCGTTGAAGTCGTCGCGGGGAGAGGCGGAATGGCCTCCAGCGTGTGCGTTTCCACCGTTGAAGCTGTCGCGAAGAGAGCCAGGAAAGCGTCTAGCGCCAGCTGTGATCCTCCCAGGGAGCCCGTCACGCTGACAGGCAGAAGAGCGTCCACTGCCACTGAGGCTGTCGCGGAGAGACATGGAGTGATCTCCAATGTCACACGTGGTACTCCTGTTGTAGCTGTCGCAGAGAGAACCAGGAGGTCGTCGAGCACCAGCTTTGATCGCGCCAAGGAAGTTGCAGCGAAGAAGAGCAGACGAGCCTCGACTGCCAGCTTTGACCCTGACCTTGAAGCTGTCTCAAAGAGGAGCGGAATGAGCTCCATTGTCACGTGTGATGCTCCAGATGACGTGGCAAAGAGAACGAGGAGAACGTCGAGTACC